TGAAGCATATTGTAATGTTTGTTGAGAACAACTGCATTAATTTATTCGGTAAATGTTTTGAATAAATTTTTGAAACTTGGAACATAAATTTAACTATACTACATGGCCGCTTAAAGATACACTGCATCTTTTATATTTCACATTGGAATACTCCTAAGCTTTTCCGTTTACTGGGTTACTCAAAGATAAAATTCCTATCCCAGTGCAAATATGGCTTTAAGAAGAAATCTACATTGCTTGTATCACCTTCTCCTCCTCCCTCTGTTGCTGGTGTCGCTGTAGTTGAAACCCCCGAGGTTGGAGACGTCTCTTGAGGTGTCCCTCCTCCTCCCCCTGTGGTTGGTGTGGCTGTGGTTGAAGCCTCTGAGGAAGGGGATGTCCCTGGAGATGTTACACTAGGCGTTGTTGTGGAAGAAACTCCGGGTGTTGGAGATGCACCTCTGTTTAGAATGTCTGCGATATGGTCACTGTACATCTTGCCATTGATGACGTTTTGCTGGTCCCAGGAAGTATCCCACAGCATGAATCCACCAAAATTCGGCTCGTTCTTCAGTTTCTTTTTAAAAGGAACAATTTTGCAAAATTCTTAAGACTTTTGTGGATTAAAGTGTCTACAAGCGATTGAGCGACAAACGCTTTGAAAAACGGAAAACTTAAGCAATGAGTAATTTCTTTGTGTCTTAACCAACACAAAGACAGAGCCGTAGCTAGCTGAGGGCCAAGGGGGGCAGCTGCCCCCCCGGACCTGTCGAGCCAGACGCATCAAGTCTTTGGATGGATTTGTTTTGTTTAGACTCAGTTATTTTGATTATTTGCAATTATTTGCCATTTTGATATTCGAGGTCGATTTTTCGGAGACATATCTCATGACAGGTGCTGAAAATAGAGTTTCGTAGCCTCCAAATTTGAAAATTTTCTCGGGGAAGATACCCCCACATCCCCCTACAAGGATCGTCACTCACGATAATGCCCCCCCCCCCCCCCCCAGAAATCCTCCAAAAGAAATAACTAGAATAACCATATAACAGGGTTGAGCATGCCAACTGGCCGGAGGCAATCCAGTTGGCTATTTACAAGCGTGATCGCGGATTTGAACTTGTGACTACCGTGAAAAATCCAGGTTGGCCTAAAATTATCTGGTTTGCATACCGAAGGGTGGTAATCTTTGCCGAGTTAACGACTACAGGGGAATAAGTTTTTCCCAAATCATGCTCAAAGTTGCCAACAGAATTGCATTCAGTCCTCCCGCGACTCGCTGTTTCGAAAACCAGAATGGTTTCACCAGGGTTTGCAAGATAAGCAATGCAGAATTTCTCATTCATTAGATGAAAATGGTAACCTCTTGGGCATGATGAGATGAGGTCGAATTTTCAGAATTTTTAGAATTTTTTCGGTTCTATCGCAGCTGTAAAATCCTACAAACTAAACCGATGTAGGAAGTGCATTCTACAAAGGGAGCAAGTTTAACTGAACTTATACCGGCCTGGAAGATACAACCTCTCCACCCGTTGCAATTCAAGGAAAATTGCTTAGGTAAATTCAAGTTGAGAATGTCAGTGACATAGACTGGAAAAAAGCATACACAGTCGCATTTAAATAATTAACTGTAAGGCATCTACCAAATTAAGAACATTCCATTTTAAGTTCCTACATCGGAACCAACGATTTTTTACAAAAAAATTCAACTTGTGCAATCTGATTGATGCAGTTTTTGTTAACGGGAAATAGAGGCTGTTACTCATCTATTTCTGAGCTGTTCCACGACAAAGGTTTTTTTTGGAATGATATTAATGTTATAGAGCGGTGCGGCTCTTACAGATTTTATATGATGGGGCTGTCCCCTTCTATGTCCCTCTTTTCATTCAAATCGAGAAACAAGTAGCTCCTCACTGTAATTCTTGACCGCCTTTACTAACAAATGGAATCTTTTCCATGGTTAAATTTAGTTGATTTGTACCTAATAAACCTCTAGCTTATTGTTTTTTATACAAATGTTTCTCCTTTTTCCATCAAAATTATCCAGCCGTTCGTCTTTTTCTTTGTCGGTAGACCACAGTTAAGTAGATGAGCCAAGCTAGCCAGGTCTGTTCCCTTTTTACTAATTCGTTTGTAAGATTTCATGTATACCGGTAACTTGTTATGTTGTCGGTAATCTTAAGATAATTATAGTAATAGTGCACAAGAGTGTAGCGTCCATATACGCACGTACGTACGGTTGAATATATATTTCTTATTTCCTGAAAGAATTTTTATCATTAAATAGGAATGAATGATAAATCTTTCGCGTTATTTTGGTGTATTTGCCCGTCTAAGGGTAGCCGTCTCACCCTCTGCATTGCTTGTAACCTTGAGGGCGTCATTGTTTTGTCCTTTTTTTCTGTAAACACTGTACCTTACCGATAAACACTAGAGATCTTAAATAAACAACTAAATATTGTCTTTTTCTTCATATTTATTTACTGAAAGTGTCCTGCGGAAAAAGCAGGAAATGGCATTTCTGAGCCCCTAAATTTGAATTCTTTTCTGGGGGACCTTCGAAGATCTAATCTTTCTTTTCGTGCATACACCTTTAAAACCTCACGCTCCTGGTGCATAAGAAATATCGTGTATGGAAACAGTGTGCGTATCAATTTCGAATCACTTACAGTTGTAATGTTTTGTTTTGTAACCATACATTGAGTCTTTGACATTAAAATTGAAACAAAGAAACGAAAAAAAGCTTGCAAGTCTATAGCTTATTGGTTTGTCTCTCTTCCGCCCGTGCCATATTCTTAGTTTTTCACAATCCTGGTTTTTTACCACCTAGTTTTCTCATAGTGTTGCCATACTATATCAGTGCACTATTGCAATGCCAATTTGGTAACAATTTACAGCAATTAATCGTCGCACAGTTAGCCTTTCAAAAGGACTACCGTAATTCAGTAAATTCAGCAGCGTACACACCAAATGTGACGAGAATAATTGTCTGGTCAGAACTTCAAGATACGATGGTAACATAAGTTCTTACTTCATATATTTTTTCGACTTCCTCGGGTTGTCTGTAGTACTTTGGATCTCCCGCACCTCCGGTAGCCGCTGGCATTCCCACGAATATCTTTGGACCTGTTCCAGTAGCTCTCTTTAGCACCATCAGCCAATCATGTGCCTGCTTTGCACCAGCCGCAAATTGGAGCCATTGTTTCACATTAGGATCGAACTGAGCAGGGTCGCCTGTGTGGCAGTAGTTGTTGTAGAACTGCACATAAACATGATCAAACTGTGATCCTTGGTCGCCTAACGCCGTATCAGGTTTGGGGCCCAACGACGCATCAGGGTAAGGACACTGTGGGGCCCCTGTGATGAGGTACTTCCTGGTACCTGCTCCCTTTTCTAGCTCTCGGAGCTTTTTAACGAGCTGGGCGTAGCCTCCAAATTTGTGATCCTCAATGTCAAGATCTACCCCGTCAAGAATAGCACTTTGAAGGAAAAAAGACATACGGCCAGAAAGTATGTAAGTTTGTTTCCAAATATAGCTTCTAATGTCCACAGACTGAGATGTCTGAGGTTACCACAAGACGCATTCATCCTAAAGTCGATCTTTGTAAAAATCTGTCGGTGGTTCAATCATATATTGAATGGGATGGCCACGATTTTCATTTTTACTTAAAAAACTAAAGCGGTTGTGAAATGCTTTTTTTCAGGTTTTGGGTCTGATATAAATTAGCTGTTCCAATAAAAGTTTGTTTTAAAAAAGTACATTAAGTGCATTGATTCTGAAGTCTCTATTGTGACCTAAAGCGTCATTTTATTCCACGTTAGTTGTTAGACCATACAATATCATTACCTTCCAAACGGTCTAATATTCTGTTTGCCTTTGCCTCCAAGGAACAAATCCCACAAATTTTGAGCAAGGATGTCAGCTTTCTGATCGTCAAGATCATTGTTACCAGTTGCACCTCCAAGCGAGATTAGAAGTTTCTTTCCAGCATTTTGACAGAATTTGATACCTTCCTCAATTTTGGGGCACTTATAAAGATTTGGGTATTCAGGCGAGACAGGATTCCAGCAGTGGTTTGCAAAATTAACTTCTGGCATCTGATCTGCTTAGAAAAAGGGTTTGGTGAATAATGGTATCGAATTTAAGGGTATTAAAATACGTAAAAGAAAAAATCCCAAGCTGCATTAAGGAGGTGCTTGCTTCATCAGAGTTAACAAAGTAGAATAATAAGAAAAACAACAATGATAGAGATACTAATGATAATGAAAACGATAATGATAATGATAATAATATATTTACTCTTAGTGTAGCTTGTGGTTCAGCTAAATTACAAGAATGACCAAGAATACATACTATGATACAATTTCAATTAGCAACGAATCATAGAGACACTTCCTAAATGTAACAAAGTTGTCAGCCAGTTCCTCGAATGGCGAGAAGTGGAAAGAAACAATGAAGGTATTTTTCATCATTCTCTCTTGATAGTGGCGTAATGTCGATGGTCGAATTGAACGATGTGACTACTGTATTACTGTATTGTGTCTTTTAACGTGCTTGTGTTAACCAAACAATAATTGGAATAATTAGGTGATTAAATTAAAGTATTGTTTTCATTAGTTAGGCAGCTGCGTAGGGACTGGTGCCTTCATCAATGAGGTTTTTCTGTACCTTAAAGCATCAAAAGGCTGGACGCATTTACAGGATGGTAAACTCGCGGAGGGCTCACATTAACAGCAATTTTTTTGCGCAGCGGTTATATTACTAAGAAGGTTACATTCATAGCGAAATGGTGGCGAGTGAGCGGTTATATTCATGGCGAAATGGTCGTGGCGAGTGTTCTAACCTCACCTTTATTGCTTGCTCCAAAAAATGTCACCACAAAACCAATGACAATAATGTCGTATTTCATTTTTTGACAGACATCTTTGAGGGTTTTCTCGGGGTTCTCGGGGTACTTCATCCCTGCACTGTTCTGTCCCCAGTAAGCCACAAGAAGATGCTTCCCAACTGTCAAAGACAAGAATGGTGCGTCACTACATTTCAGGTCATTTTATTCATATTTTTAAAGCACTTCGTTAAGCAAGAACGTGACTAATGTGTCTAGAATACTCACCACTATATCGGATGTGGCAAGCAATCAGCAGTTGGAAAATGATGCACGCAGCTTTGATATGCATTGTGACCTGGGGGTTGAAAAAGTTTTCGACGTTCGTTGTTTGACTATGGCAGGAACAGACGTAGTTTATTATATTCCGATATAAGACTTTAGTTATTAATTTGTAACCGCTAGGCGAAAGGTTAGGAATCAGGAATAGAACTTAGAGAAAATGAAGAATTTTGACAAGCTTGTTGTTTTATTTTGTGATGCAGAATACAGTTATTTACATATGAAATCACCTAGACAACCGGGCCATCGCCTTCCCTTGCCTTAACTTACCTCACCTAACCACAAGCAAGACTCATCTAGCAACATAACACACTTCGTACAGGTAACCTCTGCTTTAGCGAGCTATCTTCTTTGAGTTAAATTATGGCATGGGTCCCAATTATTTACATAAAAAGTGAGGGGATAGTCTTATCTCTCAAACTTCATATCATCATTAGAAAGCTGAAACTTTGGCAGATACATAAATTGATAGCTTATGTCAATTTTGCGTTTTTCCACAATTTGAATTTTATCACGTGACTTAACACGGCCGGAAAGTACTAAAATATCTTCAAGAAAAATTGACAGCTTTATTGTTGTAAACAATAGAGAATAAGCACAGAAGTGATATATCAAACAACCCTAGTATTATGAAACAGGAAAAATTTACAATAAAAACTGTTGCCATTTTTCATGAAAACGTTTTTAGGCAAAGAAAGTCAAGTAAGCTATCATGAATAATTTTATAAGTGCGAATTGCCACAAGTTAGCAATGTAAGTATCTGGCAAAGCTTTACTTGTCTAAGCCCAAAACGTTTAGAGAAAGACCTCCCCTTCAATTTTTAAGAGACAAATTGAGGGCCGATGCCCTAATTCACTTGAACAGACCCTGGACAAACGCAGCACACAAACCAGTAAGCTAACAAGTACTAGATACATTGTGACCTTCCTTGGTGGCCGTGTCCACCTAGTTAAATCAGATTAGTGTTATCGATTCTCTTGAGCAACAGAACTTCTGGGCACAGAAAATACGTTATAAAGTGTACTTTTACGACGACTTTAAATTTCTATCTCTAACTGTTTAAGTTACAGCTGGCATACAGTGAGGGACAAGCCTGCCTTCACAGACTTAGACTGTTGCGTTAAAACGAACAATTTTCAAGGGATCGTTTCAAGAACGAGAATTGAAAAAAGGGTTTTATCTCGGGATAAGTGTGAAGTTCTTTAAATACTGCGTCTTTGATTTCAAGGTCGAGGTGATTCTATAGCTCAGGTTCTATATCCAGATTTAACATTTGACCCAAGAGATTTTATAGCCGAACTTAAAAAAGGTATCTTGGTATATCTAACCTTGTCGATTCTATCGCTTGAAGACTTACCTTGACGTGCTTTTGGCGTCTACCCACTAATCAAAAGCCTCATAAATATAATTTTTGCACCTTCCCAATGTCTTTATAAGCATACGTTGAATATTTCCACAAGTTGAAGTTAATTGGCGAGATGGTAATGAGGTAACCCTATAAATCATTTATAGATTATCATATACTCCTCTCTGAAATTAAACATACATTTCCTCTTTTTGCTTTCTAACTGCAAACATTTAAATAAAGAAAATACTGATTATCGAAGCGAAGAAGAGGAACAAAATAAGAGGTAACAAACGTTTACCGTTTTTATTGTAGTAACTGGTGGCTTGTCAGTTGAGGTGTGTCTGTCCCTCCTCTTCGGAAACCCGTTGAAACTATTGGCAAGTAATAAACGACCGTCTAAAAGGAGAGTGTACTTAGCATGAAAAAAACAAACAAACAAACAAACAAAATCTGAGCTCTGGCATTCTTGCAAGAGAGAGACGCGAAATCATCATTTGTGATGTAAATACAAGTACATGTACATCTATTTCAGTAGCCTTGGTTAGGAGATTGTCTGACTCGCAACGAATCCTAACCCAAGCTATTTCCTCAAGGGGAGCATTTGGTAAAAGGTCTGGTGTAACTGCACCACTGCGCCATAAGTAGTCTAGTATGACTAGCGTTGAAAATTATGCATGAAAAGTTCTGAGGGCAATGGATGATATTAATATAAAAACGCATCATCTTTTCAGAAGTATTTTCTGTCTGCGCTACAACGCAAAGCCAATGTGCTCAAATTAATCCAAAAAAGTTCCGTTTTTGACGGACAGTTGATTGGGATTAGTGTGGACGCAAGTTAAGAATAAAGTTGCATTTTTTAAACCTATCCAACCTAGTGTGTACGCATGGGGACTGAATTATAGAGCCTGTGTTCTTTTCATTGATGACCTGCACGGACAAGCGCGATAGTAACTTGTATCATACCGAGATAATTGAAACTTTATGAGATGCAATTTTTGCCCTTGAGGAAGTAATTTAGATTTGTCTAGCTGACATCAATGCTTTAAAGTGAATTACGTGCGGTGGAATTAGCCAATGTCTTGAAAACGTTTCTCGCTTCCCATTTTCAAATCACTCATTCTCACCATGACACTTTGCAGACGAAAACAAATGAAAAAAGTGTTTTAATAAATTTTCTGCTCAGCTGATTTTTTCATTTAGAGTTGTGAGTGGTGATGTTTACATTAAGACATAATCGAAACAGAAACAAGCATCGGAAGCTGAAGAGTACTCAGTTCGAAACACATATAATATCGTTTTATCAGTCTTCGATTGTTAATCTGACTGCCACTTTCCCGCAACCCAAATTCTGAAAGCATCATTAGGTTAACGGGTAAGTAATATGTTTCGTCTTGAACATTTCTAAAAGAAAACATAAAATTGAGAAAGAGTTAGTAAATTGCATAATTTCTTGATTCATTTCGTAGATTCAGTATTTGGAGTCAGTCTAATACTTGTTTTGATATCTCAGGAATCGATTTTGTCAGACGCAGTCTTTTGGCTATAAGCGATAAGTCAAGAGATATCGATGAATGTAAAAAAATTAATCTTTCGCAAAGTCTTAATTAACAGTACCTGGAAGCTTAGACAATCTCTCACGAACTCGATCTTATGCTGCTTAATTTGCTTCGATTGATTTTTGCATCAACCCTTTGTCGCGGCTTTAAATGATGTCCCATTTTGCACTAAAACAGGATTAAGTAATATTTACAATCAGTCCAACTTTTAATTTGTATAAATAATATGATCAAATGTCCTCAGTGGATGGCTCTAAGTAAGTATGGAAAATAAATGACACGGAAAAACTTCATCTGTTCATATGTAACCGAAAAACTATTACCAGTCAGTAAATGGGAGGAAAACGAAAATGGTTCGTTGGAGCCGGCTTTCCTTGAACCTTGCATTTAAGCAAACGTTGTAAAACATTTATTTGAGAACAGTGAATTCTGGTTTTAACAACGTTTAATTAACAAAATCATTCATGTATATCTAAATAAAAGAACGCTGACGTTTGTCTTATGCATTGCAGGATAAGTTAACAGGTTAAGTTTTAATCTCACAAAAGAGTAGGGGGCAATTTTTATGGTGTATTGACTTTATAAACTTTTTCCGGAGACTATCACGCGGTAAATCAACCTCTAATTACCCTGAAAAGTTCTGTCAAGCTAAAGAAAATTTATTAGTATTTTGATTTTATCATTTCCATAAGAATATTGTTCAGCCAGCTGTTTCTAACCCTAACCCTAACTCATAGTAAATAAATTATACAGTTACTGGGCATATAACAGATCGTCTTACGACGATCAACTGATGACATTTTAACAGTTTAAGAAAACTGAACTACGTACTTAACAATGATCCGCTCCGAATACTCTGTTGTTTCAATCCGAGCGTGCGTTTCCTCTCAGAAAAACTCTAGGACTAAGATTTTAAAGCGATCATATTAACTATCTTAGGCAAGCGGATTTACTTTTTCAACGCTTGAGGGAAGAGTTGATAGTTAATTAAAAGTTACATATGGCAGATGAAGTGTACAAATGAAGTGTAGAGTCGTTGAAGTGTAGAGTCGTAAGGCTTTAGTTACGGTTTTTCGTAGTGCATTATCCTGATTTGCTGATTTATATTTTAGTTTTGAAAAACACTTCTTTCTTCTTGGTAAAATAAACGCAGCACTCGCCTCATCAGCAGTTGCCCGGTTTCAAATTTTTCGTTATTACTTTTAACTGCCACTTTTAAGCTGGAATTCAGAATAAGAGGAAGCCATCATTCAGTCCGCAGCTTATGGCAGCTAAATTGTTTTTCTTCTCTGTTGGATAAGGAAGTTGTTGCATTGGACATTGTTTGAATTTGCGTGGGGGGCATGAATTCACTGACCAGTTGTCAACAACCATAGGACAAAAACTGATGTTTGGGCAAACGAAAATTTAAACGCAAATTTATCTATTTGAAATCAGTGTAACTCCAATAAGTAGCCCATACTTGTTTAATATAACATCACATGCTTTTGAAAATAGTTCGTAATCATATTAAATACGTCTTTTCTTCAGGACTCTTCATGATAATAAAGCAAAATGCTGTTAAGCATGACCAATCCTCGACAATGTTAGCAAGCTTTTTACAACAATTAGAGAAAATTTTGAAGTTATGGGAGTGCGATCAAAATGTATTGGCATCAAGTAGAAATGTTTGAGTCATGGTTACAGTCTAACCTCTCCTTACAGACACCTGTATAATACGGACACCTCTCTATCACGAACAGTTCGTTTGGTCTCAGAAATGCTAAAAATCATACATTCCCTACCTCTATAATACGGACACCTCTCTAAAGCGGACAATTGGTTCTGTCCCTTTGGTGTCCGTATTAAAGAGGTTTGACTGTACTAGGTTTTGGTAGCTATGGAGATGTTAAAACGCTAATGTGTGTTTTTCACGATATACATTCTTAGTCTGATATGGTTAGCGAAAACA